TGGAAGGTCTTCGCACGCTACCCACGCCGCTGACCATCCACCTGCTTTACCTCCGGTTTCCCTCGTGAGTCTCAGCATGGAGCAACCGTCCAGATTTCCCCGATGGAGTTTTTCACTCCCTCTTCGGTCCGCACAAAAGGAAGGAAACCAAAAAGAAGACGGAGACGGGAGGGAGAAAAAAAAAGATACAAGAGCGTGTAGCGCTGCCTGGGTCGCTTTATTTTGAGGACACCAAACAAAAAAAGATTCCAATCACAAAAAGAAATAAAAAATCCGAAATAACACCGAGGAACCGAGAGGAAAAAAAAGAGAAAGCAAAAAAAATTCCGAAACCCGACGCACCAAAAGAAAGATATTTTCTCTCTCCGGGACGGTACTCGAGAGCGGTATTTACGTACGGTAACGTGTACTTTCTCAACCGCTCCGACGCCACTCCTTCCGGCAACGCGGACAGTCTCGGAGGGTGGTGCCCTACTCCCTGCATCGGTAACAAAAATCCCCGGCTCGACTCTGTAGACACCCGGAGTATCAGTATCCGGGGCTGCCACAATTCCAGCAGCCCCCGGCTCGGCCCCGAGACCGCGACCTCCGGGCTTCGGACACTTCTCGTCGCGGCCCGTCGGTCCTCGCGGATGGCTCCACCGCGGGTCGCGGGCTGGGCTCCGAGCCGGCTCCTTTCGAGCCGGCGAGCGGCTCCCTCTCAGCTCCCGCACGGCCTGCTGCCGGGCATGCAGCTGGAGGTCCTCCCAAAGATCCCACTACCTCTCCGTCTGCGTCTGTACGTAACATATGACACGGAGTGGCGGGTCCATCTGGGTGGACGCATCCCTCTTGGGCGGTTTCTCCCGCACGACGGCTCCCCGGGTGGTCGTCGTCTCCCGCAGGTGCGTCTCCCAGACGTCGCGGACTCCGGCCCAAAATCCGGGATCTACCCGGGCTATCAACCAGAAAACATCCAGGTAGCGATTCCGGAAGTTGTCCCAAGCTCGATTCGTTTCCGACATGCCTCTCTTTGCGGTACGATACGGTAATCTAAGGAGGTAATCGGTTCTACGTGAGGCTTTAGTTCCTTCATGTTAAATTTTCCGAGTAGCCTCCCATCCAGTCGCGCAAGCTCACACACCGCCGCCGACCGTACTTTAATAATTTTGAAAGGACCGTCGAATTTGGGCGCTAACTTAGCCGCGGTATGCTGAGCCGCGGACGAGAGCACATGCTGCCGCTTCTACACCAAATCGCCCCGCTTGTACGTAACGGGACGCCTCCTCAAATTATAATGAGCAGATTGGCGCTGATACGCGGCCTCTAAATTTTCCGCGACCCACGAATGCAGCTCCGATATCCGCTCCATCCGAGTCGCCCATTCCGCCGGATCTCGCTGCTCAATAGTTGGGCTTTCCTCTCCCCGATTCCTCATTGCGCACAACGGCTTTAACTCACGCCCGAGATTGAGGAAGGCGGCAGAGGTTCCGATCGACGAATGGTGTGCGGAATTATACGCGAAGCGGAAGTCGTTAAGATGTGCATCCCACTCGCGGTGATTGTCTCCGAGGAAGGCCACGATCATTGTTTTCAATATTCTGTTCACCCGCTCGACCGGATTGGCCTGCGGGTGATATGGCGGTACGGTAGTGTGACGGATGTTACTTTCTTTCGCGAATTGCTCGATCTCTTTGTTGACGAACTTGTTGACGGTACCATTGTCGGTCAGCAAGACCCTCGGCGTTCCTCAGCGCGATATTACGAGGTCGTCGAAAGCTGCCCGTATGAGCCTTCCGTTCGCGCTCCGCAAGGGCCGGCATTCCATCCATTTCGAAAATAGATCCTGAATCACTAAAAGATAGGAGTAACCGGCCCGGCTGTGCGGCAACGGGCCCATAATATCGGCAGCAACTACTGTCCAAGACCTCTTAACGACCCTTTGCTCCATTAGGCCGGCAGGGGCCTGCTGGTCCACCTTGGTCCGCTGACAGACCTCACATCGTCTCACGTAATTAGCGGTATTTCGGAACATGTTGGGCCAATAATAGGCGACGGCAAGACGATGATACGTCTTCTCGACGCCCATATGGCCCGCTTGAGACTGATCGTGGGCTTCCTCGAGCGCCTCACCCCGCGATTCGCTCGGTAACACCAACTTCCACCGATCGAGATCTTCGACTACGTCCGAGATAATTTTCGCGGGTCGCAAAAAATACAATTGCCCGTCAACAATCCGCCAAGTCGGGAAACGCTTCGGGTCCTTCGAGACCTCGCGATAACGTTTACGGTACCAAGGGTCGGAGGTTTCCGGTCCCTCCGATTCACTAACTGACTCGAGATCGTGTCCTTCACTAATCGCTGCGGCCGCCGTGGAGGTCTTGGAATCCCCCTCGTACATTCTCGACAACGCGTCGGGAACGTGGTGGAGAGCGCCTTTCCGATGCACGATCTCGTAATCGTACTCTAATAATTCCAATGCCCATCGTGCAAGCCGACCCGTGGGATTGCTCAAGTTGTGAAGCCACCTTAAGCTACTGTGATCGGTAAAACGGTAGTCTTTCAAATACGGTCTAAATTTCTTTATGGCCCAGACGACCGCTAAACATTCGAGTTCCGTGGTGCTGTATTTTCTTTCCGCGTCCGTGAGCACACGGCTCGCGTACGCGATGACGCGTTCGACCTCGTCGATCGTCTGCGTCAACACAACTCCCACGCCCACGGAACTCGCATCGGTATGTACGATAAACGGCACTTCGAAATTTGGGCACGAAAGAATCGGAGCAGTGGTCAAATCGGATCTTATTCTCTCGAAAGCGGTAATTTGATCGGTAGTCCACTCCCATCGCTTGCCCTTGGGAAGCAACTGGGTGAGTGGCTCACTAATTGTCGCGAATTGCGGTAAGAATCGACGGTACCACGACGCCATCCCCAAAAAGCGGCATAATTGCTTTATATTGGTTGGCGCTGGGTATTCGAGAAGCGGCTGAACTTTCTCGTTGTCTACTTTCAAACCGTCGCGATGCACCAAAAATCCAAGATACTTAATTTCCGAGCGGCAAAACTCGCATTTCTCCAAGTTTACGGTAAGTCCGGCCGAGCTAATTTCCGCGAGAACGCGCGATAACCATTCGAGATGTTCTTCGAATGTTTAGGTAACTACCACGATATCGTCCAAATACGCGAATGCATGGGGCCCCATTTCCGGCCCGATTAATTTGTCGAGCAACCGTTGAAATGTGGCCGGAGCCTCCGATAATCCGTACGGCATTCGCATAAAATGGTAGTGGCCTTTGTCCAGTACGGAAAAAGCGGTAATCTCTCGACTTTCTGCTGCCAGCGGTATCTGAAAGTAGGCCTGGCTCAAATCTATTGTCGAGATGTATCGTGCGGACCGTAACTTGTCGAGAATGCCCGTTATGTTCGGCAACGGGTACGCGTCCTTCTTCGGGACGCTGTTTACTTTACGAAAATCGATGCAAAAGCGATATTTGCCACTCGGTTTCTTAACCATTACTACCGGATTTGACCACTCGCTTCCGGAGTGCTCGATAATTCCGGCCTTGAGCATGCTGTCAACTTCCCCTCGGGTTGCCTCTTGCACTTTGAGCGACACTAAATAACATCGCTGCCGAATCGGTAAATGCGTCCCGACGTCGATCTTATGTTCGGTCAGTGTCGTGACGCCGGGATTTTCGGCAGCGATCGGTATGGTATTTTCGATAAATCTTGTGAGCTCGTTCTCTTGCTCTCGCGACAATTCCGAGACCCCGCAACAAAAGCTCTGTTGTCCGCGCTCGTTACAGAAGGGATGGCTCAGCGCGTCATTCGCGAAACTCCATTCGCCCCTGGCAAAATCGATAATTAGGCGAAATCTCGCGAGAAAGTCCCCTAGGATGGCCGGCACTGCGAGACTCGGTAAAAAGCCGACAGCGAGCGTCTCTCTGCGTCCCTCCAATTCGAGCTCCACGTCCGCTGACTCGACAAGCGTTGTCAGCATTCCGTCCGCCAGACGGATTCGGGACGACTCGGTACACGAAAATGGTATTCCCTGCTCGTGGACTGCGTCGATACTCTCAGCACCAAGGAGGGTTCGATCGGAACCGGTATCGACTAATCTGAGCAGGGGAAACTCACCAATTAATATTTCGATAAAACACAGAGACGCTCGCCCGCTCCCCTGGAGCGCTCCATACGAACTCGCCACCTTCTGTATAATATCGCGTGTCTCGGAATCGGGGGAAGATGCAAGGACCCTGTCTAGCGTCTTCTTGCCCCGTTTCCCGAACAGGAGGGACACGTCCGCACTGTTTGCTGCAACCTACCGCAGCGATAACAGTGGACGCGCGGGGACGCGCGACACTCACGCGCGAAATGACCGGCCACGTCGCAATTCCAACATTTGTCGAAACCGCTCGGCGTGGCCAGTCCAGAGGCCGTTTCCCCGGCAGTTTCCTGCCGAGTACTTCTCCTGGCCTCCGCCCCCGCGCCCCCGGCTCAAGGGATCGCTCCGCGATCCTCTATGGCCGGAGCCGGCTGGGTCGCCCCCGCCGGTCAACGCGTCACTTCCGCGGCGCGCGGACGCTCCCGTTCACTAAACGCGTCGCTCTCCGCAGTTCGGTAATTCGGTACTCTCTCGGCCGTCATCGTCGGGGACGGCCGAGACGAGCGCGGCGGCGGCCGGTAGGCGAGATCCGAACACACGGATCTCTCGGGAAGCGGCGGTGCACGATATTGGTTCGCGGCCGCGTAGTTTCGCTCGACACGCGTGTCGAGCCTCTCTAACGCCTCGAAATCCAGGAAATCATCGCGGTGCACGGCAATCTGTAATCGCGGAAGCATGTTTCGGTGCGCGTAATTTAGTTGCTCGACTTCACTCCACGGAGGGACGAGCCGACCGAATAGCCCGAGCATACACGTAAGGTAATCTGCGACGGGCTCATGCTCCCCCTGTGTGCGCCTCATAATCTCGTCGCGTAACGCGAACTGAAAATCAGGGTCCCCGAATCTGACGCGCATTGCTACTTCGAAATCGCGCCACGAAACCCAACGAGATCTTTTGATGCGGTACCATTGAGGGCTATGCCGGTGAGGAAAAACGGTAAACACTTGAACAGATCCTCATCTGCAATCGGTATTACTTTACGCTCCTCTGAAATTCTCAGGAGAAACGTCGCTCCCCCGCTCTCCCGAAAAACTGATATTCCAGTGACGCATGACGTTATATACGTCGCTGGCCGACATCGCGGGATGACTCGGGCGCAGGTCCGGCCCTCGGGTCGTTGGCCTCGGACCTGCTTGCGGTACGAACAGAGGAGGCATCTCCTCTGGCGGTAGCGATAACGGCGGCGGCGGCACCGCCCAGTACGGCGACGATATTCGCACCGTCGGCACTTTCACTGTGTCGGGAGCTAATCTCCCCGGCTCGAGGATTGTTCGATCGATGAACTCCGGTTCCTCTAGCTTCCCAGCGACGTCATCGCTCGGCAGCGGTGAACGCATCGCGTCCTCCGCCGGTGATGGCGGCGGAGGATCTCGGCGCCCCGCTCGCTCATAACGGAGCAAGCGTGCACGGAGCGTCGCCGCGTTGCCCGTCGCATTTATTCCGCGCGCCGTCGCTTGGTCTCGTAACTGCTCTAGTGTCAGCTCGTAGACCCACACTTCGCGGTCCGCATCATCCTGCATGATCCTTCGATACTTTCAATAAACGGGAATATGGTACAATACCCTCGCAGTCCCAGAAGGAGGTTTTGTTTGAAGGTGGCAACGGCAGCGGAAGCCCGGCCAACGGTAATCACCGTTAATACGGCTGCCACCAAAAGGATTCGAAGGCCCGCTTGTTCCAGGCCGTTAACTCTCCCTCCTCGCGGAGCTCTTTAACTCTCTAATATAGGATTCGCCGCTCTTCGGCAATGAGCTCCACGGGAGGAAAACCGGCCAGGGTGGCCGCCGCCATGTACGACAACGTTCTATACCCCCTAACCGCCCTGATGAACATCGGCTTCAGCGCCTGCCGCATGCGACTTAAGCTATCGCGACAGGCGCTGAGCTGGGGCGCCCATATCGGTGCCCGGTACAGGGCGATAGATAGGACAGCAGTCGCGTACAGGCGGCGAGCCCTCCATCCTGGACCCCCAAGGTTGCGCAGGAGACTGGCCACTGCCAGTCCAACTCCGCGCACCCTGGAGGCCAGCATCCTGAAATGCGGGCCAAACTCCCAACGGCTGTCTAACGTCAGGCCGAGATATTTAATCGTCGGCCCGACGCGGATGCGGACGCCATCGACTAGGACATGAATGTCAGGCGGCACCCCTCGACTGCCGTCGTGAAAGAACACGGCCTCAGTCTCACTTTTGGGGCGCCACCTTCAGACCTAGGTTCACGATGGTTCTTACCACCGATGCCACTGCAGCCTCCGCACGGAGACGAGCTTCCCCCCCAGCTCTTCCCCCGGCCGCCACTAACGTGTCGTCTGCATAGCAGATGTCGTGGCAGCCTGGGATTCGCAACATCCGGTCGAACGCGATGTTCCATAGCAGGGGGCCGAGCACCGGCCCCTGCGGAACACCGCGTTCCATTGCGCGCCGGCTTTGGACCCCGCCCTTCTTCGGGAAGGCGAGATCTCTGTCCTCGAAGTAGGCCGCCAATATCCGCCGAAGATAGACGGGCACACCGTGGTGCTCGAGTGCCCGTCCAATCTCCGGCCAAGGCAGGGTGTTGAAGGCGTTTTTGATGTCTAGCGACACCGTCAGCAACATCCCGCCCTCCCTCTCCGCGACCGCCCCGTTCAGGTCCCGGAGGTACTGGATTGCATCCAGGCCTTCCAGGCCTGAATCCGTATTGACGGTCGTGGAGATTCGGCCCCTCTGAAGACAGGTGCTGGACGAGGCAGTCGGCAATGATGCGTTCAAGCATATTGCCTACCTCGTCCAGCAGGCATATCGGCTTGTAGGCCGACGCGCTCCCGGATGGCTTACCCTCCTTGGGGAGGAGGACCAGTTTAGCCCTCCTCCATGCCGGGGGGAATACCTCCTCCTTGAGGTACCCGCTTATTACCCCGCGTAAGGCCGCGAATAGGTTTTCCTCGCCGAGGGCGAGAGCCCAGGCTCGGCCAGGGATTCCATCGGCGCCGGAAGCTTCCCCTTACCTCCGAATTTTCTCCTGGCCCTGACGAGCTCCTCCGGTCCTAGGCCCTCCTCCCAGTCTTCCTCCTTCATTTCGGTGGACGGAATCTTGGGTGGGCCCCCTTCCACCCTCGGGAAGAGGGTGTCGAGGAGGCCATCGAAGGCCTGGCTGTCCAACGTTTCCGTTGGCGGGGGCGCCCAAGGGCGGGTCTTGCCCATCACCCTCTTGTACGGGCGCCCCCACGGATCGTCGTCCAGGGAACACATCATTTGCTCCCAGGCTCGCTTAGCCTCGGCGATGGCGGCTCGGAGGGCCTTCCTGGTAGTCAGGTAGCCCTCCTGAGCCCTCGTGACATCCTCGCCTCTTCGTCGGGCCCGGTATATGCACCGCCTGGCTTGGATGGAGGAGTCACGGAGTTCCGCAATCTCCTCCGTCCCCCAGTAGACAACGGCGACGGCGAGGGTGGGCTTGGGGCATAACAGCGTCGCAGGCCGACGCCACGATACCCACTAATTCCTCAACCCCCTCCAGGGGACTGAGGGCCCACTCACGGCTCCTTCTCAAAGTACCAGGTGGCCACAAGGCCGGTCGCCTTAAAAAAGGGGACACTTTTTTGGTCCCCTCCCCCACTCGACGACTAGTAACCTAGCACAATCGACGGCTATTCCTTCCGAAAGGGCCCCAATGCTCGACGGCTTTTGCCTGACGGATCAGGTCGCCCGCCACCCGCGGGCTCCCCGTTACCGACTATCTCCAGCCGCCGAACACCAAGGCACTCCCTCCCGGATGGACCACCCCCGAGTGTGTGCTCCAGGCTTCCCGGACACCGAGTATTGCGCCAATGATTGCATGAGGGGTGTGAGGTGTGGTGGACCCCGTCCATCCCGCATGCAACCCAGACACCGTAGAAATCGTGCCATTAGGCACGTGCCAGCCGAACTGCTTCCGGGTGCGGTATCGTGTGTCCGTATACACCTTTTACAGGACCGGTCGAGGGACGACCAGCTGCGGGAGTCTTCCAGTCCTGCAGTAGTGCATCCGTGAGGCTTCGTCACCGCCGCTGATACCACACTACCACTCCCTTCGAGGCCGGCCAGACAGGCGCCAGTCCGCCGGGTCAGCGGCCCGGCGCCCGTCCGGCCACTCCTCAGAGCAGGCCGCCGCAGCATCGAATCTCAACAGTGGCATTCCTCCACGACCCATACACCCTTAGCAGCCGGCCAGGCTCATCTTCATATCATATTCGCCAGGGTGAGACTAGGACACCGATGAGTGCATCCCCCAAATTTCCTCAAAGAATGCCCACCCGGCACCTAGAAACCCCTCCTTCGGAGGCGACCTAAGCTGGTTCATTCGACGCACATTTCCTCTCCGGCACTGGAGCGGGGACGGCTCCAGCCGCCACCGCCACAGCCCCATTCTTTCGAGGATCAGCGCCATCGCCAGCCCCCTCCGGAACTCCTCCCCCCCACACACATTTATTCTGGATGGCGGCACCATCCTACACCCTCGTGGAGCCCGCACTGTCCCTCGAGAGCACCCCTACTCCCACTGTCGAGCGAACCCCCCGGATGTCGCGGGACCTCGGCCTGACGGATCAGTGAGTGCACTACAGCGCTCGCCCACCGTTGCCGACTATCTATCCTCTGCCCCTCGGCATCCGAAGGTCCCCCCAGCCACCATTGGCTTAACGGATCAGGGAATGCACGACAGCGCTCGCTCCCCGTTGCCGACTATCCGCCGCCCCCAAAACCAAAAGGCATCCGACTCGATGACGGGACCAGGACCCACGGGGTCCGCGGCGTGCTCCACCGGGTGTTGCCTCTCAGCCCCTCCCATGTGTAGGAGTTAAACCACACGGGAACCGCTGAGAGGACTCCATTCATCCATACCATGGTCGGCTGCCTCACTAGGCTAACGAGTCCGACACCCCAGGTTTTTATTTTGGGTTTCCTCCCCTCGTTCGGATGCCTGGCATCGCCAGACTAACAGGTCCGGTCACCCGGGTTTTTCCATTGGGTTTTCCTTCCCCTCGTTCGGGTGTTTGGTACCACCAAACTAACGAGCCCGATCGCCCAGGTTTTATATTGGGGTTTTCCCTCCTCTTCACTTCGATCGCTTGCCCACGAAATTAAGCTCTTGAGCCCTCGCCCGGGTTTGATATCGGAGTTTCCTCTTCGGAATAGGTTGCCGTGAGGCTAACGAGCCCACTAGCCCGGGTTTTTACAGTGAGTTTTCCTTCCCCTCGTCGGATTGTCTAGCGACCTCTCAGACTAACGAGTCCGATACTCGGGTTTTGCACAGGGTTTTCCGTCCCCACGTTGGGTATCTGGAAAATAGGCTAACAGGCCCCATCGCCACGGGTTTTATTATGGGTTTCCTTCCCTTGTTCGGATACCTCCCGAAAGCGAGGCTAACGAGCCCGGACGCCCGCGCTGAAGGGTCTGAAGGTTTTCATGCCGCTCAAGAGCAGCCCTCCAGTCCCTTAATGCTTCGAGAGGCAGCTGCCTATCTCGGAGCATGTATTGGTCGCTCTTAGTAGCCACTCTCCTCGGTTCACCCTTGAACTTGAAATCCTGAGATTCCAAGTCGAGTCCATCCCCTTGGATCATTGTGGCTGTCAAGCTTCTGCACCACAAGTTGGCGACCATCGTAGAAGAGGGAGTGGGGTCTAATTTTTTATGTCCATATATGGTCATAGGACTGTGTTTCGAATGTTTTTTAGAGGTTGAGTCAAGAGCGTAAGATAAACTTCTTTTTTTTTTTAGGAGATAGGAAGCATGTGGCAATAAGAGGATTTAGATAGTTTACAAAACGTAGCAGCTATCTTAAGAAGGAAATATCGATATTTTTTAAGTAGGATGTCGCGGTATTATTAACGTAGACTGCGTGCATGGGAACAAGATAGGAGTTGGTTTGGAGATTGGAATTTTCAAAGATTCTAAGGGTCATCGCGTCGTGTGATAAATAATAATAATAATAAATTCAATTTTCCTTGCTTATAAAAGAGGTCTATAAGTCCACAGGACGTAACACCCCCCACCTATGACAAATGTTTGGGTAACCAACATTTGCTAGCGGAGCGTATTAGGTCAAAGCTTAAGTATTACGCAAGGTTTTAGTTGTTATTTCCCTGGACTAATTAAGATACTCGTAATAACATAATTAAAAGGAGGAAAGATAGAAGACGACTTCCATATTTTTCTTCTCTTCTTTCGTCCTCCTAAAAATTATTGAATAAAGTATAAATGTGTTTCTGTTTTTGCCTGTATTTTAGGAAGAGGAAAGATAGAAAGCAACCTCCAATTCTTCTTCCTTCTTTTCTTTCGTCTTCTAAAGAGTGTTAGACAAGTGTATTTGTCTTTATGTTTTAATTTTGGGATGGAAGAAGGAAAGATAGAAGGCAACCTCCAATTCCTCTTCCTTCTTTTTTTTTCGTCCTTCTATATATATAGAGGGAGAAAAGAAAACAATATTGAAATAGTATCTTGTAAAGAAAGGAAAATTGATTGTTATAATTTGTATCATCATTATAAATTATTATAAATATTTTCTTTTTCATTCTTTTTTTTGTTATTATTTTTGCTACAAAAATTTTTTATTTATATATATATTTATTTATTTATATATTGCGACGCGATTTCCGCTCGCCGTCGGCAAACTGCCGTCGGTCCACGCGTCTCGGCCGTTCGCACTCGCACAAAAGAGGTTGGACGCCAGGTGCAGCGGGCTGCACCGATCACCAACACGAAGCGACACACCACCAAAGGGCCGAGACACGCGAATTCGACGGGACCGGCAGCTCCTCTGTACTTAGAGTCGGTAGACGGGAGGATTCGATCGGGAATTCGGGACGCAGTCGGGAAAACACAAGAATATCAATGCGCGTTTCGATTATCTCACTTTTTATTATTTCGGGAATCGGAACGGTCCGACCCCTCGATACGGTACACTCCGCTGTGTGCTCTCGCGATTTCGAGATTTGCTCTTCGCCGACAACTAAATCGAGACACGGTACGCACGGGACACCGAAACAGTAAAGCAGGCGGACGGTCTTACAAATTCGGGAACCTCCCGGCGGCGTGGTCCCTCGATCTCCTTCCTCTGTTCGCTCCTCCGCAATTCCTCTACCAACGGCAACCCCCTGGGCGCGTGGAACTCCACCAAACTTCTCCTCTCACTCCCGGTAAACGGTATCCTTTTTGTTCATTATCGGCACGACACTCCTTTTCGTAGCGATCTCTGCGATACTCCAAGCGATACTTTTTCCGTATTAGCCGACGACAGACTAACTATCCCAGAGATGACAGAGAGAGCGAAACGGGAGTTCGCTCTTTTATTTCTTCCCAAAAACAGTGTCTATTCGTTCTTCTTTGTTGTGTCACGCTACCCGTCTCTCCCCGTTCCTCAGTGTATCTCCCCGTACGAGAATCCTTCCGCGGATCTTTGTTTTCGATCCGCGGAATGGGGCTCGGTCTCACTCTCGCGCATTCTCCTTCTCGCTCGCGCTCCCGCGGTCTCTTCGCCTAGGCCAGCTTTGTTTAACCGGCGATCATGCTTCGAACACGGGAGCGACGATAGCTTCGCCGGATATTCCTGCGGGCCTGTGGATAACAGGAACGGCAGCGAGAATCTTTTAAGGCGATACGGGAATCGGTAATATTAGATAGAAGGTGGAGCATTCACCTGAGGTGGCGGTCCGGTCGATGGGTGACGTCCTCTTCTTTTCTCTGGTTCCTCCGGTCTTGATGGGCGGCATAGGAGGTCCAGGGGCACAGAGCTCGGGGACGCGGGACCGTTCCACCTGCGCGCTCCTATCACTAATACTAATTAATACGGGAGGGGCAATGCGGCTCCCCTCCCCCCGCAATTTGTGCGCGCTACTCTTCTTCCCCCCCCCGCAATTCTCGCGTAAGGACCGAGGGTTCGCATTGTGACGGGCTTCACAGCCGTCACGTCACAATATATAAATATATATATATATTTTTTAGAGTATGATGTATAATATGATATATAGTATAAATGTAATATGTAATACAATATATATGCAATGTGTAAGAGTATGTAAACGTATATAAAAGTATGTAAAAATGTGGGAGTATATAAGAGTATAAAAGTATATAAACATATAAGAGTATATTGGAAATGCAAGCGTATGAGAGTATATAAATATATATATATATATATGAAGGATATATATAAGAAAAAAGATATATAGAAGTATATAGTAGATATTATTATAAGAGTATATATTCTTTATATTGAGGGAAATGGCCTGTAATTTCTGTTTGACTCTGTAGCCAGAGTTATCGCTACAAGGTCCCTTTTAAAGTCCGCGAGTCCTATTTGTCCGGGCCGTTCTAAGTAGAGTTCAACGTCTGCCCCTGTTTTCCCTACAGGTTGTTTGATCAGCATGTAACCTATTTCGTTTTCGGCGAGTAATTTGGCAATTTCTCTTGTCTTTTTAGGTTACAGGGTCGCAGAGTATACGGGCCTGACCCCATGTAGTCCACAGCCTATAGCTTGCCACGCCATTAAGTGGTATTGTCGCAGTAGGTTGTACAATTGTGTGATTGATTTTTTTTATGATGCGTCCCCAATCACCCAGGGTGATTACGGCAGTAGAACCACCGACATGGGTAATGGTTCCGTGGGGGACTCCACGTGAGTGACATATACTGGAAGTCGCCCACAGCACAATTTCTCCGTATTGATCTATTGCCATTTCCTAAATTGATTTCCGAAATTGAACAGTGAAAGAAATAATGAAGCTTGCAACGATTGACCTTTATGGTTTGAGAGTGAGAGAGTAAGTAGTAGTCTCCTTTTGAAGGAGTGAAGGACGAAGATTGTGATATCCAATGCTAGTAGTATGATGAGGTCGTTCAGTGGTAATAGGAGGATTGCTAAATCCAGCACTGAGTTCTTGTAACTCAGTGGAATCTTTATTAATTTTGGCGGTCTTTTCCCGCCGATAAAAATTAATAATTGTATAAGAGAATCCCATAGAGCTCCTATTAAATAACAGGAACAGCTATATATTGAGTGTAGTGCATAACCATGTAAAATGGTGTCTAATAATAGTTTAATGAACCGGAAAATAAGAAAGATTCTCATTATTCCAACACTAATGTTCCCGAAAATAAAAAATCGTCCCCAGATTTTTTCCCAAGTTGAAGAGGTTAATTTTTCTAATGAAACCTCGTCTAAAAGGTTTATAAATGATCCTCCGTGAATCGTGGCGCTGTGGTCCATCATTGTTCGAGCCATTGTGTTGAAAACGGCAGGCCGTATTGCTGGGAATAGTATATGATCCTTGAATTCGTCGAGATCCGATTGACTGTAAATGCCGCTGGTGGCTAGTGCTCCAGGACTGGTGTATTTCCATTCTGGTTTAGTCATGGGTTTCAAGATTGCTGGCGAAATGGATTTTATCAGAT